GCTGCTATTAGTGGAAAAAATTTGTTGTGTTGTCTTTCTATGTTTTTTTTTCCTGTGTGTTGTAATGTTGGAATTTCAATAAATACTTTTTTTTGTTGTTTTTTTTAAACTAAGCCATTTGAATGGGACACAAATGGGCTATACCAGGGATCTGCAACCTTAAACACTCAAAGAGCCATTTGGACCCATTTCCCACAGAAAAGAAAACACCGGGAGCCACAAAACCCTTCCTGTGCCTGACTATTTCTTGACCAGCCACAAAACTAGCAAATGTAGTTGAATTAAACCTTCTGTTTTCTTCTGAAACTTTTCTTTTCTTGGATTTATCCATGGTTGGCCTACTGGGGATTGAAAAGCTCAATAAATCATGTGCCAACGGGTGTCTCACATTGGTGGTTGTGATGCATATTTTGAGTGACAGGGAGCCGCAGCAGAGGGGTGAAAGAGCCACATCTGGCTCCAGAGCCACAGGTTGCTGACCCCTGGGCTATACCAAGACCAGCAGGATAATTCCTTGTTTGTTAAATGCCCCAAATTCTGTCTAAACAAGTCTATCATATGTTCTGGGTGACCATTCCCATTCCATTCCTTGAATGTTACCCTTATCCATTCCATCATCCCACCATTTCTCTTGCTTTCCAAGCAAACTGTGAGTGGCTGTTCAAAATGATGTGGAATTGTCAGCTCACAAACAAGGACTTGAAAAGACATTCCACTGCATCTTGTTCCAAAGCTAGATTTCAGCAAAGACAGTGTAATCTTTTAAAGGAAAGACTCTTGAGCCATTGATTGAATGGCAAAGAAAACGCTGCAGGGAGCATTCAGACCATTAATTCAGAAGAGGTGTCAGAATAACAGGTTGGATCTTAGGCAAATGAATCTCCAAGGGAAACGGCTGTTTTAGTACATCTATTTAATTGAGGAGATAACAGCAAATTCATCTATGCAAATTTATATAGATATACATTTCTTTTATAAGGTTTTTACCCATTTAAGATCCAGGGCATTTGAAAAGCCACATGTTCTGGAGAGGCTGTGCATTTTTTTTTCCTTAGGGGAAGGACTTTTAAATTTGCACATGGTTGCAGTAAAATGTGGTTGTTTGAATGATCTGTTCTGTTGAGGAAAATGCTGGCTTTGTAGGGAGAGATCACCCTAAAAACTCTGTTGACTGTAACAGAGAATCTAATGCTGATGCCTAACTTAAAGGAACTGTATGAGAACTGTATGATGTTGAGACTCTAGAACAGGGGTTTGCAACCTTAAACACTCAAAGAGCCATTTGGACTCATTTCCCACAGAAAAGAAAACACAGGGAGCCACAAAACCCTCCCCGTGCCTGACTATTTCCTTAGCAGCCACAAAACTAGCATATGTAGTTAAATTAAACATTCTGTTTTCTTCTGAAACTTTTCTTTTCTTGGATTTATCCATGGTTGGCCTACCGGGGGTTGAAAAGCTCAATAAATCACGTGCAGGCAGGTGTCACACATTGGCGGTTGTGACACATATTTTGAGTGTCAGGGAGCCGCAGCAGAGGGGTGAAAGAGCCACATGCGGCTCCAGAGCTGCAGGTTGCTGACCCCTGTTCTAGAAAGAGTGCAAAGAAGAGCAACCAGGATGATTAAGGGACTGGAGGCGAAAATATACAATGAACGGTTGCAGGAACTGGGCATGGCTAGTCTAGTGAAGAGAAGGACCAGGGGAGACAGGAGTGTTCCAATATTTGAGGGGCAGCCACAGAGAGGAGGGGTTCAAGCTATTTTCCAAGGCACCTGAAGGCCAGACAAGGAATAATGGATGGAAACTGACCAAGGAGAGATTCAACCTAGAAATGAGGAGGAACTTTCTGACAGTGAGAACAATCAACCAATGGAACAGAAGTTGCCTTCGGAAGTTGTAGGAGCTTCATCACTTGAGACTTTCAAGAAAAGATTGTACTGCCCTTTGTCAGAAATGGTGTAGGGTCTCCTGCTTGAGTTGAGGAGGGTTGGACTAGATGACCTATAAGGTCCCTTCCAACTCTGTTAGTCTCTCTGTATTAAGTTTATGGAATAAAAACACATCCATGCAAAATCCCAACTTGTAGTTTTGTACAAATCTTTCACAATGTTTTATAACATATTCAAAGGAAGAAGAAACCAGTTGAGGAATACAGAATGCAATATTCGATAGGAGATAAGTGTGGAATTTGATTTGTTTATTTTCCAAGACATATTAAAATACACATTCTACCATGGTTTAAACGTGTCCCATAGCTCAATCCTCTTCAGATGTCCATCACACTCCAAATGATGGCTTTTACATCTTGATATGTATATTTAGGACGAGCTGGACATCCGTGCTTCGCTACAAAACTATGTGCTTGGGCTTGATAAATTGACACTTGCAGCCTGAAACAATGTAGAATGTGTAACTCAGTAGCATCAGAGTGTGTTAATATAATGGAACTGGCAGTTGGAACAGAGGGGAAGGGGGAGTAGAATGTCCAAGCCTGCAGCATCCATCGATATTCATCTGGCTAACAACCTGTCAGTGTGTAAGAGAGTTGAGGGGTGTTTAGAAACTCAAACAGTCTTTGCTGTGTGAGCAAAAAGGAGACAGGAAGGAGGCTGGGCATGGCTTAGCTCAATTGTTCTGTAGTAAAGCTGCTTGCTGCTGTGAAAGTAAAACTGAAACTGAAACTGAAAGTCCTCTCCTCTGCTTGTGTTTTGCATTTGAAACAGATTTCTTTTCAGGTGGGGAGGGGGAGTAGAACTCCTTAGCATCAGAGCGTGTTAATAATAATATAGGCAATACTAATGCTCTGATGGTCATTTTGAAAAATCCTTTCATAGTGAGCACCTAGAAGCCAAGAGGAATATACATGGTAAATTTCAAGTTTGTAGGCTTTACGGTTCTGGAGATTTTGTGATTACGGCGTGAGTGGTTTTCGTTTTTATATATATAGATTGTAACTCAAGAAATTAATCCAACCCTCATAACCAAGGGAGCATTTTCAGTCTTCTCCATACTGGGACTCTTCAGATATCCTATAACAGCAACACCCAGTACAGGTAGTCCACGATTTACAACAGTTCATTTAGTGACTGTTGAAAGTTGCAATGACAATGTCAGCCTCAGCTTTGCCTGCTTCAGCTGCCATAAGAAACGGGGGAGGGATTAGTATGGGGGCGAAGGGTGGGAAGATGCAGGAGGTGTTTTTTTTTTCCTTGTAGGACGTGTCTTCATAAGAAACGAAAGTGAATCTTCAAAGGGGACGGCTGACCAACTGCCCTACATTCCTGATGAATGACGCTGCCAGACGTGATGCCACCTGACCTTTGGGAGACCTTTGGATTGGCTGATGATCAATGGACACGGGGGGGGGGAAGCTTAGTAGATGCATTTCGCGCGTTTTGCTCACTTCCAGCTTTACCTGGGTTGCGATCATTTCATATTCAGTAAAAGTACTAATCTCTTCAAAATGTTTGAGTTTGGGTTTTTCTTTCCTGGATATTGAAGGAAGCATACCTGACAGACACTGAAAAGTGACTTATGACCATTTTTCATAGTTACAACCAGTGGTAGGATTCAGCCAGTTCGCACCACTTCAGGAGAACCAGTTGTTAACTTTCTGAGCAGTTTGGCAAACTGGTTGTTGGAAGAAATCATTAGGGCAGAGAACCGGTTGTTGAATTACTTGAATCCCACCACTGGTTACAACCTTCGTAGCTTCCCCATGATCATGTGATCAAAATTCAGATGCTTGGCAGCTAGTTCATACTTATGACCATTGCTATGCCCCAAGGTCATGCGATCATCTTTTGCAACCTTTTGACGAGCAAAGTCAATGGGGAAGCCAGATTCACTTAACAACCGGGTGACTAACTTATCAACTGCAATGATTCGCTTAACAACTGTGGCAAGGAAGGTCGTAAAATGGGACAAAACTCACTTAACAAATGTCTCGCTTAACAACAGAAATTTTGAGCTCAATTGTGGTCGTAAATTGAAGACTATCTGTATGGGACTTCCAGATGTGTTCTAAAAGGAAATGTACTCTGATGCCTTTCTCCATTTGCTTTTAGCTATGGTACTGAATTGTCCTAGCAAGCTTTGTTCCCTGTGTAATCTTTCCATGACATTGTCTTCACCTGAATTAGAATTAAGTCACTCTTAGCTGTACCAGAGTTAAAGTCATGTTCTTCCCCAACACACATGTGCATACCTTAATTGTTAACAATGTTCAAAGGTGATAAACTCATTACCTTGATGAGAAGTTAGAAGATTGCAGTGACTTGAAACAAAGGCATTACAATAGAAAGAGGATTGGCAATGGCGATAGTCCAGGGCTCAGCAACCTGCGGTTCTGGAGCCGCATGTGGCTCTTTCACCCCTCTGCTGCGGCTCCCTGTCACTCAAAATATGCATCACAACCACCAATGTGCGACACCCGTCAGCACACAATTTAGTGAGCTTTTCAACCCCTGGTAGGCCAACCATGGATAAATCCAAGAAAAGAAAAAGTTTCAGAAGAAAACAGAAGGTTTAATTCAACTAGTTTTGTGGCCGCTCAAGAAATAGTCAGGCATGGGAAGGGTTTTGTGGCTCCCGGTGTTTTCTTTTCTGTGGGAAATGGGTCCAAATGGCTCTTTGAGTGGTTAAGGTTGCAGACCCCTGCAATAGTCAATGACATGCTGGTATAATTTTCTGTCAGCTCAAGTATATGTGAACAGCAGCTCAGCAGGGTTCACCACTATGCCTTGGTGCAAAGCCCTTGCTTTACGCTTGAGGGCTCTATCTTCAGCCTTTAGTTTTAGAGAAGTAGAATCAGAATGCGATCTTCTTCTGCCCAACATCTTGGATAAATGTTGCAAGTCCCAACGGAAAGCACAGATACACCCATCAGATCTCTCTAATTCTGCATTGATATCTGCACGTTAATGCAAATGCTTCATAGCCACATATATTGTTGCACTCTTTTGACTGAAGCTTCATTTGTTAATTATTGGTTGCAGTGATATCATGTGGGAACCCTGGGACGCCCAGCAACTCAAGGGTATTATTCAATGACGGCCTGGTGTTCTCCAGCTCCATCATATACAAGTGTCGCGATGGCTATTATTCCACAGGTGTGCTCAGCAGGCATTGTACTGTCAATGGAACCTGGACCGGGAGTACCCCAGAATGCACAGGTGAGTTGGTCAAAGGAAGATGTTAGCTGTTGTGGTCGCATGGCCAACCACACTCTAGTCTCCATTTTCATGAAGCCTATCTAAACCACAAAGTGTCAGTAAAGACACTTGAAGGACATTTCTTTGAAGTTTGGATTGTATACATTCTAGTGGTGTGAAACTGGAAAAGGGACCCAGTTGGACGTAATAGAGAAGCTATGCTAATATCTTGGCATCAACTAATTTGAGAACTATAGGTGTATAATAGCCATTTCTTGCCTTAAAGTATTTAACAATGTCAGACGAATTCCTCTGTGCATTTTCAGCAATGTAGTTCCCATGGAGCTTCCAATTTGACAGTAGAATTATGAACAATCCTCAGTTATTTTATTCCTGTGGCTATATATGTTCCACAAAAAGGTTCTTGAGGCCTTTGGCATCTTGAGACCATGATGTTAGCTTTCTGATAATTGTGTTCTGGTTGGTATTCCTGGCAATATTTGTTATGGTCCGCCAGCAGCCCGCCAAGCTAGCAGCGGAGTCAAACAATGAGGAGGCTGGGGAGGAACATGGGCCAGTCCTGGAGTCTGGGGAAGGCTCGGATGAGGGCTTTGTGTTGGAGCCAGAGATGGGGCCAGGGCCATCTGGAAGTTATGTGTGGACCCCAGAGCCTCCAGAGTCGGATATCAGAGAGGCAGAGGAACAGGAGGAGCCTGTTCCTAATGCGCGCATGCGCAGAGCTGCCAGAAGGCAAGAACAGTTAAAACTAAAGGGACGACTCGGGAGTAAGGCCTAGAGATGATTAGCTCCTCCCATAAGGCTTAAAAGAGGAGCAAAGGCACATGGGCCCTTTGCAGGAAAGCAACGTTGTTAATTCTGTTCCCAGTCGGCATCTCTGTCTGATTCTGGACTCTGTGTGGCTTTGCCAAGTAGGTCTTAGGCAGCGTGTCAAGGGAGATAAAGGTTGGTGATTATCCCATAGGACTTCTCTCAAAAGACTTTTTGCAACTAATTGGGACTCAGCTGTGAATGAACGTAATTCACAGCTGTTGCAATAAAAGAGGTTTTTGGGACTACTCATGTGTTTTAATGACTCAGGAAGCCGAGGTTACAACAATTCTATGCTAGGTGATTTTCAAGACCAACAAACATTATTGAACATATCCCTGGATCACCTGCATAGAATACAACAGAAATATCTCTTCAGGGAGAGAGAATTCACATTGTGGAGAGGTCCCATTATGAAATTAATGTATAAAGTGAATAGGAGTGAGATTAATATGCAGCTTTGTTTAACACATTTCTTGGTTTCAATAACATTGCGTAAAATGGCCTTGGTGGCTACAACTTTCTTTGAGTAACGTGCCTTCATGTAGCATAGATATTAGATAAAGTCAATGCTGGTTGGTCTAGGAAGCTTGTACCTTTTCCCATAATTTAACTTAGAAGATAGCAGCAAATTCTGCTTTGAAATCTCTAAAAGCAAAATAAAGAGAGGTTGTGTTGCAGAAGTATTTCTCCAATACGATGCTCAAATGTAAGGCACTGATCAATAACGGATCAACTAGCCTGCTCCTTTGTCAGCAAGTTTTCTTGTTCCAGCCAATCCTAAAATTTCCATTGTAGATGTCCTGCATCGAGCTTGCTGGCTGTCTTAAGAGGGCTAATAATTAACAAGATAATCTATTTCCCCCTTGTAACCAGAATTGAATTTTTGCAAGGAGGAGATAATAGCCACTCACAGATCAGAATTATGAGGGAATTTCTGTGTTTTTTAACTCCTGTAAATCACAGTTGAAATCACGAAGCCCTTCCCCCAATTTTGCAGGTAGTAAAAAGACTTGAAATATTTCCATTTGAAAAGGGACCCGGTGCAGAGCTAGCCATCACATTATTTAGGAATTAGATGGCTAGTTACTCCCTGCTGTCATTAAGTTTCACCATGGGAGAATATGTCTTGAACTTGAGGGCTGTTGTAAGAATTTGCTTAGCAACTATTATTAGCAACTATTTCATCAACCTTGCCTTTGAGATCTGCAACTGATCTTCTTTTTCTCCTTTTCCAAGTGATAAACTGTGGGGACCCTGGAGTACCAGCCAATGGCATCCGAATGGGCAACGATTTCACCTATAATAAGACTGTCACATTTCAGTGCATGCCAGGTTACATGATGGAGTCAGAAAGAGCTTCTACTTTAACTTGCACTAAGGACCGGACCTGGAATGGGACGAAACCTGTCTGCAAAGGTAAGGCCAATTTAATCGCACATTAGATCACATGTGGGAATTTATAGTTTACACCCGTGTTTCTCAACCTTGGTGACTTGAAGAAGCATGGCTGGGGAATTCTGGAAGTTGAAGTCCACACATCTTCAATCTACCAAGGTTGGGAAACATTGGTCTAGAACAGTGATGGCTAACCTTTTTGCCCACACCCATAATTCAATGTGCCCCATCCGCCTGAACTCCCCCCGCTTTTGGCACGCGATGGCATGGTGGGCCCAGTAGGCCCATTTTCCGCCCTCCCAGACTCCAGAGCCTTTCTAGGAGCCTGGGGAGGGCGAAAACAGCCTTCCCCACCCCCCTGGAGGCCCTCCGGAGGCCAGAAACAGCCTTTTTTCCCGACTTTCAGTGAGCCCGGAAGGCCCGAAAATCAGTTGGCCAGTGCACGCATGTGTGCTGGATCTGAGCTAGGGCAATGCTTGCGTGCCCACCGATATGGCTCTGTGTGCCACCTGTGGCATGCATGCCATAGGTTTGCCACCATGGGTATAGAAGCAGGGGTGTTAAACTGGCGGCCCATGGGCTGGATGTGTCACGTGCAGGCCACACCCATCCCAGCTCTGCAAAGGGGGGGGAAATGTCACAATACGTCACATGATGGCAACGTGACGGGGCGATTTTGACACCCATGGTCTAGACTAGAGCAAGGATGAGCAACTATGGTCCATTACAACCTGTGGACTTCAACTCCCAGAATTCCAGAACCAGCATGTCATAAAGGTCATAAAGGGGCTATAGTTGCCCAGCCCTTGTCTAGAGGAATCTTTCCCAGCCAGGTAGTCGCCAGATAGGATAAGGATAGGATAGAATAGAAGCCACAAAATCCAGATAGAGAAATTCTTTTTTCCCCTTACTCCCTCACTTCTTCAATTTGTTTAAAGAGAATTAGCCTCAGAAAGAACAGCTTGGAGAATATCTCATAGGCAGGATATGCATACCTGCTCCAGGTGATCAAAGAAGGTGTTGTGTATGTCAGTGGTGGGTTGCTCCCGGTTCTGTCTGGTTCTGGAGAACCAGTAGTAAAAGCAGAGGGAGACTCCGTCCACCCACCCGGACATCATAATTGACTATCTGTGCATGCGCAGAAGCATGTGCATGCTCCCGTTGCGAACCAGTAGTAAAGGTAAGTAGAACCCACCCCTGGTGTGTGTGTATTCTGCCTTTCACTGTTGTGCAATTGCTCCAGTACAGCTTTCCATGCTTCTGTCACGGGGGTAGGTTCTACTTACCTTTACTACCGGTTCGCAGCACGGCCATGCGCGCAGAAGCTTCTGCGCACGCGCAAAAGCGTTCTGATGACGTCGGGGTCGGTGGGTGGAGCCTCCCGCTGATTTTACTACTGGTTCTATAGAACCGGTGTGAACCGGGGGCAACCCACCACTGTTCTGTCCGAGATCTCAAGAGAATTCATCCATTATATTACTGCTGGAAGGGTGGGAGAGTTTTGTTCTTAAGAAATTTGTTGTAGAAATATTTCTTCCCCTTGAAAAATCTGGTAAAAACTGCCCACCAATTTCTTTAACCACAAGGTTGCTCATTGTTTTTTTTTTAAGAATCCTAAAGAAACCTTTTATGCCCATTTCTGTTCATGGCTCGCATTATTTTGAATCCCTGTGGTCAATGGAAAGCCAGGAAGGACTCGTTTCAAGAATAATCTGAGACTTTTGGAAAAAATTGGGATTAGAGGTGGATTCAGAAGCCATATATAAATTAGTCTTGGTTGCACATGGAAGCACATGATTCTCAAGAGTCTAGAAGTGATCATCCTGTCTAGTGTTAATGTCCTTCGTGCCAGGATTTCTGATGGCCCGTACAAGCATGTTTAAAATTTCCCCTACTTTATACCTAGGTGCTACAGATGGCCAATTTGCTATACGGTTACTTGCATGCTGTGGCCTTATTTAATTACCATCTGTATTTCAGCAACATTTATTTATTTATTTGACCAAATAGAAAGAACAGGGTAACATCTGTGAATTCTAGCCCTTTGAAGAAGGCGCTTTGCAGCTATGACAAAAAGTTCCTTCAATATGTAGACCACACTCACATGACCATGATAAGAAACCCTAGAAAAAGAATTCTAACCTTCTAGGTCTCTTGTTGAGTTCAATGTGACTTTTTCTCCCTAGCTATCATCTGCAAATCTCCACAAATCGTTTCCAATGGAAGAGTCATGGGCTCAGATTTCAGTTGGGGCTCAAGTATCAGTTATACCTGTCTGGAAGGCTACCAGCTCTCCTTAGCTGCTGTTTTGACCTGTGAAGGAAATGGATCATGGAGTGGAGAAATCCCACAGTGTTTTCGTAAGTAGACCGTTCCAGTTGGACAAGGCATGAAGTCATGGGGCTTTTTATGTTATAAAGACATATCCATCATAAACTCTTGTTATCTGACTGGTCAAAAGACAGGCTCCAGTCTTTAGTGAGTACCTGTTCTGACCTAGGCTCCCTTAAAAAGCAGGAAGCAGAGTCTTGATCCCGGCAAAACTCCTTTTATTTACATGACTGTGAATTCCTTTCATTCACAGTCAGCAAGTCTTGGCAAACAGTTTTTCAGAAGAATATTTATCAACACAAACCTTATCTCGCTTGGAAAGCTGCCAGATAACCAGTTTCCAAACACAGTGTAAGGCAAAACTTGGCACAGAGTCTCTTACAGTCATGAACAAAACTTTTCCACTCTTGAAATGACTGAATGAACAAATTGTTTCCTGCAAAAACCCACTCCCTGTTCGCTCCTCCTTTGTTTCCTATGGGAGGAGCCAATCACCTCCGAGATTTGGCTTTACTCCCAAGTCGACCCTGCTTTCTTAGTTGTTCTTGTCTTCTGGCAGCTCTGTGCATGTGCACACTGGGAACAGGCTCCAGCTGTTCCTCTGCCTCTGATGCAGAGCCCTCCTCCGAACTTTCCCCAGCCCCCAGGACTAGCTCATGTTCCTCCCCAACTTCCTCACTGTCTGATTCTGCTGCCAGCTCTACTGGCCACCGACGGGCCACAACAGAACCCATCAAAAATGCTGCTCTGCCATTATAGTTAGAGATTATTTTTAAAAAGAACAACAGAGAGAGCGAGGGGCACCATGCTGCTTGTCTGAATGTTGCTGTGAGCCAGAAGAATCATCTTAGCTGCTCCCTGAGGGCCAGGGAAAAACACTTAGGTGAAAAGTTTTCTGGTTTATTTATTCCATTTTACACAAACTTCTTTCAGTTGCACAAGGCAGTTGGATCACATTCCACTAAAATGCTTACCCTATTCCCTCATCTCTCCTAATTGTTAAAGGCCTCCACTGGCAAACTTTAACTCAAACACTTCCAAAGTCCTTTTCCCACTCTCTTCTTGAACCAAGCAAAATGAGCCCATTTTCAAACTCAGCAGAAGAGCTAAGTTCTGCTGGAAAATTTGGCCTTCGGTATCCAAGAAGTATTAGAAGATGCTATCAAACCTTTTTGGAGAATTATAAATCAACAATGTCCACTGCATATAAGGAAAATCGATATAGATGGCATATGCCCAGTGGTGGGATTCAGCCAGTACACACCACTTCGGGAGAACTGGTTGTTAACTTTCTGAGCAGTTTGGTGAACTGGTTGTTGGAAGAAATCATTAGGGCAGAGAACCGGTTGTTAAATTATTTGAATCCCACCACTGCATATGCCCCCTGAGAAACTGGCAAAAATGTTTAAAGATAAATAATCTCAATGTTGGAAATGTCACCAGTTACCAGGTTCTTATTACCATATGTGGTGGACATGTCCAGAAGCTAAAAATTATTGGAACGCAACTAAGATATGGCTGGAAGAAATGATACAACAATGTATTGATTCCAAACCAGAGCTGTTCCTACTGGGAACAGCTTTTCCTTTTTTCCTCCAGAAAAAATTAGCAAAGAACATATTTATTTGATTATACATGTAATAACAGCTGCAAGGATTGTTTATGCACAACACTGGAAAGCAAAGAAAATACCTTTGAAAGGAGAAGTAATTAAAAACAACGTAGATTGTGCAGAAATAAATAGATTGACTTTGATGATTAAAGAAAGAGAAGATTCAGAATACTTTAAGATATTGAATCAATTCTACTATTGGTTAGAAAAGAGATATAAGTAAGTAAATTAATAGTTAGGTATAAAAAGGCTATAATCAGAATATTTTGTTAGTGATGAATTATTGTAATTGATTGAATGAGAATGAAGGCAGAAGAAATAATAAAAAGAAGAACGATTGGAGACAACACCGAGATGTCACATGGAAGGAATGATTGATGTATTAGATGTTTGTTTGTTTAAAAAATAAAAAACTTTTAATTTTTTAAAAAAACCTCTTTGGAAGAGAAGTCCGAAAGCAAAGGTGTGGCATTAAAGGAAAGGGATCAGTTCAGAGTTTTATGAGAAGGGAAGCTAGCCTGCAATTGTGTGGAATTTTTGTGTCAGTGCTGGTGTGCTAAGATGCTTTTTTTTCCCCCACCCAGACATTTGGAAAAACATGAGCTTTTGTCTGGCATTTCTTGTTCCACCTGCTGCAGAAGAAACAGGCTTTCCTGTTCAATATAGGGCCACATGGTGCTTTGCCTTTACACAACGGAAGATCTGTTTTTGAATTCAAGCAAAAGCAAGCAAGGAAATTGAAGCTAGCCTTCTGTTCTCTCGTCAGCCCGTCTGCCAGGAGAGAGTAGGAAGGTGGAATAGATTAAACATTCACTGACAATGAAACACAGCATGCAGAGAGAAGCTGGCCACTCTCTTCCGCTAGCCAGGTTACAAATGTCCTCTAAACCAAAGGTCTCCAACCTTGGCAACTTTAAGCCTGGAAGACTTCATTCTGGGAGTTGAAGTCCACCAGGCTTAAAGTTGCCAAGGTTGGAAACCCCTGCTCTAAACTGAGAGTCCCCAACGTAACACTTGTAGGTGTCAGAGTGCCATGGATATTTTTCTAGGTACCAGTCAGGGTCCATTTTTACTTTTCAAACTTTTATTATTCAAATTTTAAACACAATGTAAGTGTGAACTTACTGCAACATACTGCAATGTAGGGCTGTGAAAGTTGGACCAAAAGAAAGGCTGAGCGCCTAAGAATTGAGGCCTTTGAACTCTGGTGCTGGAGAAGACTCCTGCGAGTCCCTTGGACTGCAAGGCGATCCAACCGGTCAGTCCTAGAGGAGATCAACCCTGACTGCTCTTTAGAAGGCCAGATCCTGAAGATGAAACTCAAATACTTTGGCCACCTAATGAGAAGGAAGGACTCCCTGGAGAAGAGCCTAATGCTGGGGAAGATTGAGTGCAAAAGAAGAAAGGGATGACAGAGAACGTGGTGGCTGGCTGGAGTCACTGAAGCAGTTGGTGTGAGCTTAAATGGACTCCAGAAGATGGTAGAGGACAGGAAGGCCTGGATGAACGTTGTCCATGGGGTCACGATGCGTCAGACATGACTTCGCAACTAACAACAAAGTGTGAATTCCAGACTCACCTTTATTTCCAAAACTGACCTTGGATTCTGTATAAACGTCATAGGTATTCTTAGAACATCACAACAATAGTTCTTCATTTTCTTTATGTACTGGTGGAATCTATCCACTGAGCTGAGAAAAAGACAAAAGCAAACTGAGATATAAAGATATTGGAATTTTGTGATTATCCACTCCCTCCCCATTGTGACAATTCATAGTTATCATTTTCCTTGTAAAGGAAAATTTCCCCATGATTTGAGTGGAAACCACACAATCTGCTTCAGTCAAGCTTATTTAAGCAGGACTGGGGAGAGACCACCAGGATCTGCCCACTGAAGTAGGATACAAGCAACCTTTTTACCATTGTATAATAAATGCTGACCAGTAATTTTCTGTTTTTGGTGAAATAATAAGAATAAAATGGAGATTGGCAGTAGTTCGTTTTTGTGGCTAGTTACGTCCTGGTTCCCATCTAAAAATATTAGTGCTGATTTAAGATAATTTATGAGGAACTTCCAATTTAGATTATCGAACGCTTTTTGTGTGTCCACAAATATCAGCGTTAGTTGCTTCTCAGGATGGGCCTCATAATATTCCAGCACATTCAGGAACTTTACTTGAGTTCAGGAGTTTAGAGGTCATGGTTCAGGTCTTCGTCTTACTTCTTCATCTGCACACCCAAAATGTATTCAATATGTTATATTTCCCTACTGGTCCAAAAGAGTTAGGGTTCTTGACTCACTGGCTGCATGCACCAGACATAGGATGTTACAAGAGGTTGGTGTGGTTAGAGATCTTATCCCAATGAAATGTCTCTCACTGAGGTCCTTCGACCATTCTTTTTGCAGCTGTCTTTTGTGGCGATCCAGGAATCCCAGCAGACGGGCGACGTGAAGATCGAGGTTTTACTTACCGCTCCTCTGTCTCTTATTCCTGTCTGCCCCCATTAGTGCTGGTGGGATCAGCTCGGAGGTTCTGCCAGGCTGATGGATCATGGAGTGGGACCCAGCCAAGCTGCATCGGTAACAAGATGGGACTTTATTGGGGAACAAAATAATAAAAATGCCTCTGCAAGTAATTTTGCACTTACATGACTCTGGGAGTACGCACACGCGGGGGAATGCTGGAAACTGGAAGAGCAGCTCCCTGGCGCGCATGCGCACGCCGGAAACCTGAGCTTCCAGTTTCCAGTATGTGCATGCATGCCAGTCACCTGGTCTTCCAGTTTCTGGCATGCATGCGTGCACTAAGATCAGCTGACTGACGCACATGCGTGCCTCAGAAACCAGAAGCTGCTCTTCCAGTTTTCAGCGCAAAACTGGGCCAGCCAATGAGCGATGGCTGGCGGGCCCGGAGAGATGCCTCTGTGTGCCACTTCCAGCATGTGTGCCATAAGTTCACCATCACTGCCCTAGAACCAGAAGAAGACTTCAGAAGAGCTGGAGTCTACATGAAGTGTCTTTACCTTTGTGCCATGAAGTGTCTCACTGAGGCAGAGCTCTCTCTCTCGCTCTCTCTCTCTCTCTCTCTCTCTCTCTCTCTCTCTCTCTCTCTCTCACACACACACACACACACACACACACACACACACACAAATGAATTAAGCACTTACATTTGTTTGTTGTTCTTTTCAGATGCAAGTGTTACAACCTGCATGGATCCAGGTGTGCCCCTTTTTGGAATTCAAAACAATTCCCAAGGTTATCAGGTAATATATGATCATCTTCCCTCCCTCCCTCCCTCCCTCTTTTCTTTTCTTCTCTCCTTCACCCTGAACAATCTTCTTTATCTATATAATATAGCCGAAACTGCTAATTTGTCATCCTTAATCCAGGGGCTGAATATATTCATTCTCCTTTTATGCAAAACACAGACAGTGATGATCTCTCTTTGGAGAGTTGTTATCTCTTGATTAAGCTGTTTTGTGAGGGAGACAATAGGAGGATTTTGCCGGAGGGACCTTTGATTAGATTCAGAGGTGGTCCTTGATGATGCTTGTGCTTCTAATGGAGACAGAATCAAATAGACTTGCCTCCCTTAGTAAATAATAAGGCATCTCAAGATGGAGGAAATCTATGCAGGGAGTCCTCGACTTACAACTGTGATTGAACCCACAATTTGAATTGTAAATCAGAGCAGCCATAAAATGGGTCATTATATGACCAGACCCAATTTTGTGACCATTTTTGCGGTGGTCATTAAGTGGTTGCATAAGTGATCATTATTAAGTGAACCCATTGTTTGCTATAGGAAAGTTGTTGCCAGAAACAAGAAGGAAACATCCGTTTCCTTCAAAAGCATCATCAATTGAAATCATGTGAGATGCTGCAAATGGCCGTAAATTTGGGCCGATTGCTGAGCAACAAAATTGTGGTCATGTGGCATGGGTGATGGGCCCAGATATAGGAACTTTGAATCTGGATCGTAAATAACTTTTTTTGGAGTCCATCATAATTTTGAATTATTATTATTTTTTTTTAAATTTGATTTATATGCCGCCCTTCTCCGGAGACTCAGGGCAGCTTACAATGCACTAAGCAATAGCCTTCATCCTTTTGTATATTTATACAAAGTCAGCTTATTGCCCCCACAACTGGGTCCTCAATTTACCTACCTTAGAAAGGATGGAAGGCTGAGTCAACCTTGAGCCTGACGAGATTCAAACCTGCAGTAATTGCAGGCAGCTGGTCTTAATAACAGGGTGCTTTAGACCACTGTACTTCCAAGGCTCTTTTTTTTTTTGCTTAGTAACCACTCGTAAATCAAGGACTACCTGTATGGCCACTAAAGAGTCAACACTGACTTGATGGCCCATGACCAACTCACACAAAGTTGATATGAACACAGGAGAACTCCCCATTCTGCATACGAGAGGACAGTAGCTTTATGAAAAAGATTGATAATCTTTTCATGTTGTTGGCACCACTGCCTAGTCTCACACGATGGGGATTCCCCCTTCCTTTCCCCAAATTGAAAATTTAAACGGCCAAACATTTGTGAGTTTATGAAATATGTTAACCTCTTTGAGAGGCCACTGGAATTTCATGAGATTTGATCACATCTTGAAAAAGAACTGTTCAAAATATGTTATGTGTGAGAAGCTCATTGTGTGACTAGAATCATGAGCCCAAATTATTCCACACGGCAACATTTTGTTACATGTTCCACTAGTTTTTTGTCTGAAACCACAAACTTATCTTTCAAGTCTGAGTCACTCAAGAGCAAAAGGCCACTGTAAGCTAAATCAAGTTCAGACCTGGCTTGATCACTTTTTCAAGGACAGGTCTGTAGGGTAATATGTGAGGTTGAATTACCCATCTTTAACTAGATCAGTTGCTTTAACTAGATGAATGGCTATATTCACTCATGCTATATTCACACAACATGCTAAATTTGCATTATTTCTCATTGCAATAGGTTGGAAGTGTCATCTACTTCAAGTGTCATAAAGGATATCTGCTGCAAGGGTCCACCACCAGAACCTGCCTTCCAAATCTGACATGGAGTGGAATTCAACCAAACTGCATCCGTAAGTCTTCGCTACCTCAGTGTTGGCAGAACAGTTGATGCCATTGAATTTCAACCTCAGCCACTTGAAGATGTGTGAACTTCAACTCCCATAATCCTTCAGTCTGTCTGGGGTATTCTGGGAGTTGTAGGCCATACATTTTCAAGTGGTTGCGGATGAGCACTGCTCCGTGCTAAGAATCCAGGTTTGCAGTATACAGTAGTGGCCAAAATTGTTTGGGGAAAGTGTATTTTTGAGGTTTGATGGCTAATAGCACCACTTTTTTTTTTGGAGTTTCAAGATATTCCACTGCTGGAATGTGGAATGGCCTGGGAATAGCCCAGAACCTAACCCAATTGAAAATCTAAAAAGCCGAGTAAAGAAACTTGCTAGTCAGAAGTGACCCAGCAACAAAACCCAGTTAATAGAAGCAATCATTCAATCTTGGTTTCACATTATAACAGCTGCAGAACTAAAAGACTTGGTTCACTCCATGGGAAGACGTTGTAAGGCCATAATTCATGCTAAAGATTACCCAACTAAGTATTAACTGACAGGGTGATAATTTTTGTATATCTTGTTTTTTCTACGTGTTTCACTTTTCTTCTTTATACTGTAACTGCTATTCTAATAGCAAATCCTTCATAAAAGTTATTGCATTACATTCTTGATTAAATTAACTTTCCATTGATATATAATTTTATGGTACTACTCCCCCCCAAAAAAATGCTGGTGTTATTAGCTAGTTTTAGAAAATACACTTTTCCCAAAAGGTTTCCACAATTTTGGCCACCACTGTATACTTAGATGGCAGATCTTCATTTTTTGCTGCCTGGATAGATAATGTGGGAATGAGAAAATGCAAACCAGCCTTTACAGACGAATCCCAGAAAGCAAGGATGAATGAAGCGTCAGAAGGCATTGTTTCAGAAGATGCCTCCTTCTGAGTCAGGCCAGCACTTGGCTATAGACAGGCTTCAATCTTCACCCAACCAGCAGCCTTTCCCAATCTGGTGCTCTTCAGGTGAAATACCTGTCATTTCCAAATAACATCGGCAATCTCCCGGGAGTTCTGGGGGATGTAGTCAAAACAGATCTGGAGGATACCAGGTTGGGAAAGCTAACTTCTGCCCTTTCTTAGGCCTGGTAATGGTGGGTCCATGAATAGAATAGAATAGAATAGAATAGAATAGAATAGAATAGAATAGAATTTTTTATTGGCCAAGTGTAGGACACACAAAGAATTTGTCTTGGTGCATACGCTCTCAATGTACATAAAAGAAAAGATACATTCATCAAGAATCATAAGGTACAACACTTAATGATAGTCCTAGGGTACAAAGAAGCAATCAGGAAACTTAGTAAATAGTTTGACAGTGTTGAGGGAATTATTTGTTTAGCAGAGTGATGGCATTCGGGGGAAAACTGTCCTTGTGTCTAGTTGTTCTGGTGTGCAGTGCTCTATAGCATCGTTTTGAGGGTAGGAGTTGAAACAGTTTATGTCCAGGATGTGAGGGTTCTGTAGATATTTTCACAGCCCTCTTTTTGACTTGTGCAGTATACAGGTCCTCAATGGAAGGCAGGTTGGTAGCAATTGTTATTTCTGCAGTTCTAATTATCCTCTGAAGTCTGTGTCTGTGTTGTTGGGTTGCAGAGCCAAACCAGACAGTTATGAGATGCTTTCCTCCATGTCTTTGTAGCACACAACTGCAAGGAACCAGATACCCCAGCCCATGCCAATGTGGGTGCTCTGGACCTGCCTTCGCTGGGATACACCTTGATCTATTCGTGCCAGAGTGGCTTTTATCTCACTGGAGGATCAGAGCATCGGACTTGTAAGGCTGATGGCAGCTGGACAGGGAAGCCTCCCATTTGCCTGGGTAAACAAAGCTGCCAACGGAAAGACAGCTACAAAACATCTACATAATAAGATGTCTACAAAACATCTTATTCTTTCCACTTGAAATTCATCTGTTGCATTTCAGCCATGTGTTTCAGGGACAAATCACTCTATTTCTGTCCCCTGTTCCCCAGACATAGAGGATTAAAAACTGCCTTGTTAGATCAGACCCAAAAGCCGATTTTGGGTCACCATTTTCCACCTTGGTAGCCAGAACATTAGAATTCTATGTGATTCTTTTTTCACTTCTGCTGCTCAGGGATAGAGTTGCCTTCTCACTCTGGAGGATCTCAACAATGTTCATATAACATAAATCTTCCTCTATCAGTGTTAATCCTTTATATCAGATTGTCCCCAACATACCTTGCACCTGGAGTAAACAAGGTTTTTGTGTGTGTGTGTTTTTTGTTTGCATATTATGAAGTTTTTCGCTGACCACTTTTGCCAGTTCAAATAGTGAAACAAAAAGTGGGGAGACCCCTTTTGTCTAACCTCTCATATCATCCATAATTATAGACCTAATAGGAAGAGAGTCTTCCTAGGCTAGAGAAGCAAACAAATCCACCTGGTAGCATTTTTTCCCTGTTTTTCTAACATGCTTAACTATGTTAAATTAAAAATATTAAATATTAGGAAGTTTGATCTAGTGCAGGGGTCTTCAACCTTAAACACTCAAAGAGCCATTTGGACCCATTTCCCACAGAAAAGAAAACACCGGGAGCCACAAAACCCTTCCTGTGCCTGACTATTTCTTGAGCGGCCACAAAACTAGCATATGTAGTTGAATTAAACCTTCTGTTTTCTTCTGAAACTTTTCTTTTCTTGGATTTATCCATAGTTGGCCTACCGGGTGTTGAAAAGCTCAATAAATCCTGTGCCGATGGGTGTCGCACATTGGCAGTTGTGATGCATATTTTGAGTGACAGGGAACCTCAGCAGAGGAGTGAAAGAGCCACATGCGGCTCCAGAGCCGCAGGTTGCTGACCCCTGATCTAGTGGTTAAGGCATCAAGATAGAAACTAGGAGACTCTGAGTACTAGTCTCACTTTAGGCATGAAAGCTGGCCAGGTTTCAGATATATTCAACATGGGAGGTGGAAGGTATGCTCACTGCCTTGAGTTATTTATAAAAATAACAAAGGGCTACAAAATAATTTAAAATGGGGGGGGAGAGGCAGTTCCAAAGGTAGTGGTTGCATTCACACAACATTCTAAGTTTGATTAGCTTATTTTACAAATTAATTCATGGTTCCATCTATTCTTCCAGAAAACAGAAAGTGGGTTAACTCAGAACCAAGTTGAAGAGAGCAAGGGATCACATAAGATCTTTCTTTATATTCATAGAATATTAATGTTCTGTTAATGATGTTTGTGTCACCTTATATGAATTCTTGCTTTGATTGTCCTTTTAAGCGGATGTCCGACCCAGCAGGCGACCTATGGGTGCTGCAAAGGATCAGCATCTTCCAAAAGTCTCAGGTATCTCTTTTTCCTAACTATCAAATCAATAAAAATATATTAAAAATGAAACAGCAGAGCAAATTACTTGGGTCTGTAAATAGATGGACACACTTGTCAATTTTCTTATAAAAGATGAAAAACTCAAATTATTCATTTTTTTAAAATGGATTTTCGGTATTTTAAATGGATGAGACTCTTAATGGCATTTCTTTTTTTTTTTTTTTTTAATTTTGATTTATATGCCGCCCTTCTCCGGAGACTCAGGGCGGTTTACAAGGCATTAAGCAATAGCCTTCATACTTTTGTATATTTTATACAAAGTCAGCTTATTGCCCCCAGAAACCGGGTCCTCATTTTACCTACCTTAGAAAGGATGGAAGGCTGATTCAACCTTGAGCCTGGTGAGAATTGAACTCGCAGTAATTGCAGGCAACTGGAAGCTAAATACTACCTTTAACAGTAGCATTAGTCTGCTGCGCCACTCAGGCTCCCTTTTGATTGTTTTTTTATTTATTTTATTTTTTATTTTATTTCGAATTTATATACCGCACCTTCTCCCGAGGGACTCAGGGAGGAACAGCCAGCTAAAAACATACAATACAAACATTAAAAACAATTAAAAGGATATATTAATTTGGCCCCAATTTAAAATGACAAACCAGTTAAAAATATTTTTAAAAAATGTTATGTTAAGCCAGCCCAGCTTGCTGGAAAAAGAAGGTTTTAAGGGCAGGCAGAAGGGCATGGCGGTTACTTGTTTTGAAGTAACAAAGCTTGATTTTAAAACGTATTGAACAAATAATGATTCTGGGGAATTCTGGGAATTGAAGCCCATTCCTCTTAAGGTTGCTAAGGCGGAGAAACACTATTCAAAACCACGGAGGGCCTGTTTGGCTTCTGCACTTGTTCTAAAATCTTCTCCTTGTCTTGTTCTGCATTGGGTTGTTTCTAGTTCCTGCTGATGTCTTTGCCAAAAATTCCTTCTGGAAAGGCTCTTATGAATACATGGGCAAAAAGCAGCCAGCCATGCTTTCGGTCACCAGCTTTGATCCAGTCACCAGTAAAGTGAATGCCACCCTAATAGACCACAGCGGTGTGGAGCTTCAAGTCTCTGGTAAGGCAGCCAATTGGGGCCTTTCTCCATTCCTGGTGGGAGAAGAGAGATGTTCGCCCCATTAAACAACATAGAAGGGAAAATGATGTCCATCCAACCTTATCTTCACCACATATTAATACTGCCAATATAATGGGTTGGTTGTTTATTTTTTTTTACTCTCTTCACCCTCATCTGCCTGGATAATCAAGCTGAAACATCTGTCTAATGTGCAAAGGAAATCAATGATTAAAGACCCCGGGAGTAATCATTCTCCAGCTGAAATTCTGTATTCTGCATTCATATTAACACCACATACTAAGCCTAACATAGTAGCGTAACCAAACAAATAAGCTATGGTATAGTTTACTGTGATGGATTATATATAACGCAAACTGTGGCTCACAACTGAGTTTTGACAATATACGAAACCCAAATGGCCCAAAAACTATGATAGAGAAAAGATGTTGAGACCCAGGAAAGTGTGCAGAGAAGTTAAAGGAACTGGAGGCTAAATTGTAGGATGAACAGTTGAGGAAATCAGGTATGTCTGGCCTACTGAAGAGAAGGATTAGGGGAGATATGATAGGTCTCTTCCAGTACTTGAGAGGCCATCACAAGGAAGAGGGAATTGAGTTACTCTCTAGAGCGCTAGTGGGCAGAATACAAAGGAATGGCTGGAAGAGATAATTGCCAAAGAGAGATACGACCTAGAAGGAAGGAGAAATTTCCTGATAGTGAGAACAATTAATTAATGGAGTAGCTTGCCTCCTAGGCTTGTGGGGTGCTCCATCACTGGAGGTTTTCAAAAATAGAGTGGACATCCATTTGACTGGGATGGTATAAGACTTCTTCTTGAGCAGGGGGTTGGACTAGTAGACCTCTCAGCTTCCTGGTTTTCACTATCCCTGTCTGGATGGTTAGAATCTGTGAATCTTGGACCTCATCCACTTATTTGTGTGTGTGTGTATGTGTGTATGTGTGTGTGCGTGCATGTTTTTAATCTGCAATTTTAACCATGTTCCCAATTGGAGACAACTCTTTGAAGGCTATCTTTCCTGCATTTTCATTTTCCTGAATAATTTAATGCTACCTGCAGGCTTTGGAAACAACTAAATGCATGCAATACAGATAAGCTTCCAATATGATTTTTCCAGAGTCGAATGCAACCCTGCTCTAACTTCACAGAGCATTCAAGAACACTGAGATCTTGTCTTCTCAAATTGCAATGAAACCTCCCCCCTCGCCCCCAGTTCTCTCGGGGGCTTCCTCACCCTGCTTGCGTTACAAGAAAAACAATCAACCTTGACTGCCCGGCTTTCTTATCTTCTCTTTCCAGGTATTTACAAAAGAGAAGATGTCCATCTTCTCCTCCAGGTACACCAAATTACAGGGCCACTGGAGATCTTCATGAACAAATTCAAGAATGATAAGTGGGCATTGGATGGACACGTAAGTCTTTGCCTGAAACATTTCAATGACAGACGTGCAGAGGAATTGGGAACACAACATTGGGGGAATGCGAGAGCTTTTGCAACGATGGTTAGGAACAGCAAAATCTAAGATTAATATCCCCCAACCTGATGGCCTTGGGGTATGTTGGGTTTGTGACTCTCAGACTTCCCAGCTTGTAGGAATTCATGAAGTTCTCATTCTAAAACATTTTGAGGGCACAAGGAAGGCTCGCAAACTGTCATCTTATGCATCAGAGAAACTGAAGAAAAATCAATCCTTCTCTCCCTCTTTCTCTTTCTCTCTCTCTCTCTGTCTGTCTCTTCATTCTCTCTTTTTAAATGGTTAATAAAAGAAAAAAAAGAAAAGACTATTTGACTAATGATTCTAGTTAGAGACATTTAGGCACACTTTTCATTGATGAAACAACCTCATACTGGGACACCACAAATTTAAATGCCTAACAGGAAAAATTACAATTTCAAACCAAATGTTAAATATTTTAAAAATGTTTAAAAGCCAGAAAACAGTTTGAAAAATTCATCATATGAAACAGGGCAATTTTTTTTTTTTTCTAAGATGATGCAGTTGGGTTACTTCCAGTGGTGGGATTCAGCCAGTTCGCACCACTTCGGGAGAACCGGTTGTTAACTTTCTGAGCAGTTTGGTGAACTGGTTGTTGGAAGAAATCATTAGGGCAGAGGACGGGTTGTTAAATTATTTGAATCCCTCCACTGGGTTACTTCCTTCAGTTCTTTGTTGTTTACATTCTTATTTGACCAGACCTTTTGCCCCTCAGCCTTTCAAGTGAAGATTTTGGATGGGAAGAGCTTGAATAAACAGATGTACAAAAACAAATGTTTTCTCTTTAGCAGACTTCAGGAGACGGAAAGTTTGGTTAAAGTGGCATACCATCTTCTTACTCATACAGATTTTGTAATGGGATATATGTACTGACCCAGCACCTAGGAACATCCCTCTAGACATTTTTACATTATAACAGTCTAAGGCCAAAATAAACCCCAATCTTCAAGCATGTTTTGATCAAAATTGACCCAAGAAAGCCAGAAGATGCTTCAGTCAAACACCACACGAATTCCTCTGGGAAGACTGATCCCAGGGTTCCCTATCTTTGTCTAGACCAGGGGTCTGCAACCTTAAACACTCAAAGAGCCATTTGGACCCGTTTCCCACAGAAAAGAAAACACTGGGAGCCACAAAAACCTTCCCGTGCCTGACTATTTCCTTAGCGGCCACAAAACTAGCATATGTAGTTGAATTAAATGTTCTGTTTTCTTCTGAAACTTTTTTTGGATTTATCCACGATTGGCCTACCGGGGTCGAAAACCTCAATAAATCACGTGCCGGTGGGTGTCGCACATTGGCGGTTGTGACACGTATTTTGAGTGACAGGGAGCCGCAGCAGAGGGGTGAAAGAGCCACATGTGGTTCCAGAGCCACGGGTTGCTGACCCCTGGTCTAGACAGCTCTACTAAATGTATCCCCACAAAACTATCCCAGCTACAGGTAGTCCTCAACTTACAACCACAGTTGGGGCCAGAATTTTCATGGCTAAGCAAGGTAGTTGTTAAATGAGACAGGCCCACTTTTATGCCTTTTTTTTTTTTTTTTGTGACAGCTATTAAGTGAATCACTTGGTCATTAAGCAATTGTGGCGTCCCCCATTGATTTTGCTTATCAGAAGCTGGTTGGGAAGGTCACAATATGGTGATCACATGACCCCAAGATGCTGCAACCATTGTAAAAAAAAAGGCCAAGTGCCTAAATTTCGATCATATGTGACCACGGGGATACTATGATGGTGCAAGGTTTGGTTGTAAGTTCCTTTTTTCAGTGTTGTTGTAAATTTGAATAGTCACTAAATGAATGGTTATAAGTTGAGGGCTACAGATAATTTGGTTCCAAGATCCTATACATAGCTTGTCCTGTCATACCTTCCATCAGAAGTGAAAGTATTTACAGACCCCTCACATCCTAGACATAAACTGTTTCAACTCCTACCCTCAAAACGACGCTATAGAGCACTGCACACCAGAACAACTAGACACAAGGACAGTCTTTTCCCCCTGAATGCCATCACTCTGCTAAACAATTAATTCCCTCAACACTGTCAAACTATTCACTAAGTCTGCAGTTCTATTAATCTTCTCATCGTTCCCACCACCCATCTCCTTTCACTTATGACTGTATGACTGTAACTTTGTTGCTTGTATCCTTACAATTTATATTGACTTTTTTCCTATGACTATCATTAAGTGTTGTATCTTATGATTCTTGACGAACGTATCTTTTCTTTTATGTACACTGAGAGCATATGCACCAAGATAAATACCTTGTGTATCCAATCACACTTGGCTAATAAAGAATTCTATTTCTTTTTAGAAAGGTTGTACCACAACATTTGAGCCATATTTTGAACAATTACTAGCATGAAGGATCAGACTAGGTTTGACTTTCTGGTTTCTATTTTTTTAAAAAAAATTCCATATATGGTTATACAGTTGAGCATCTAAAATTGGATAAGTCATTCCATATCTCTAAGCTACCAATATTTATGGGTTTTATTGTTCTGGTCAAGGCACTTCCTTCATTATCATCATGGTTTGTGGTAATTTATTCTGTTCCTCAGCAATGGATTTTTGCCGTGAAACCAAGCATTTTATCAAATTATAGCATAATTTTAAATAAATCTGATCATTTCCGGACAAATCGTCCTTAAAACTACAATCACCCTATTCCTATCGCTGATTTTTTTTTCCACTTTACATTTGGATTTTGCAGTCTCTTTTCATTTCCTGCTCCAAATACAGGTCACCCCAGAAGCTTCAAGTGGAACATTTGTGTACCAAGGATTTGTCCATGGCAAAGGTTTTGGACAATTCGGCCTCCAAAGACTAGGTAAGCTAACTAACTTTCAGACCAAAGTTGACCCAAAACAATAGCTTTAAGTAATTTATATAAGCAATATCACAATTGTGAGATTTTTCCATTTACGATTCAGTGGGTATCAGCTATTGTATATAATTATTTTTCATTCAATTGATTGTTTTTTTCCTGCCTTTCCAATGTAATTTTTGTTATCTTGTGAAACTGAATTTCAAAGTGTTATTTAAATAAATTCATTTCCAGAATTTTGCCAAATTCTATCCCCTCACCAGTGGTGGAGTTCAATTTTTTTTTACTACCGGTTCTGTGGGCGTGGCTTGGTGGGTGTGGTGTGGCTTGGTAGGCGTGGTTTGGTGGGTGTGGCAGGGGAAGGATACTGCAAAATCCCCATTCCCTCCCCACTCCAGGGAAAGGATACTGCAATATCTCCATTCCAACCCCACTCCAGGGGAAGGATACTGCAAAATCCCCATTCCCACCCCACTCTGGGACCAGCCAGAGGTGGCATTTGCCAGTTCTCTGAACTACTAAAAATTTCCGCTACCTGTTCTCTAGAACCTGATAGAACCTGCTGAATAGCACCCCTGCACCTCACCATCACTGTTCAACACTTAATATAATCATTTTGTCAATGGTATTGACACATTTGTCATGTAGTTTTAAACTATTCATTGTGTGCATAATGTTAAGTGTGAACAGTTTTGGGATCTGGGCTTCAAGTGAAACAAATAAAAGGAACATTTGGCTATTCATCTTGGAAAAAAACCATAAAAGGCTAACTTTATGTTTTGCTTTGTCTCAGAAAAAACATCATCTTTCTCACTGAAGGATGAGAAAGTGACTGTGAATTAATGAATAAGTCTACCAACACTGTATCAAGCCTACTAGATATCATGAGTTTAATTCAACTACCGTTCTCATTAACCCCATCAGAGGTTATTTAATTAGCGGTGCCAGAGATTAAATCTGAGATTTAAATATTTTGTTACGTTTATATGCAGCAGACGTGCGAGGACAGCCCCTCGCCTCCCCTTCCCAATTGTACTCAGCACCAGTAATTTAATGGTGTTTCTTTTTCCAGATAACAGCGTCATTGAACGGGATTCTGAATCAATAGGACATCCATTTGCATCCAACAGCAGCTCAGTTGCAGCTGCGATCCTCGTGCCTTTCATTGCCCTGATGATTGCAGGGTTTGTGCTCTATCTCTACAAGCACAGGTGAGATGTTCCAAAGTAGAAAAGGCAGGAAATAACCTCTTAGGGCTTCATAACAAGGATTGTAAGAATAATCATGGGTTTTCTGGTCCAGTGTCCTCCGAATTAAACCACATTTCTCATGATCCCCATGTGGTTAGCCCTATCAGGTAGACCAGGCTAAGAAACAGACCTCATGCAGATCTGAGCTACCTATACCTAAAAGTGCTATAGTAACAGAATCTTGCAAGTCTGAAGGTGCTACCTTTTCTTCCACTTTTATCTCTACTATGGAAATTGGAAGGATGGGGGACTTGGAATATTGTATCCAGTTTTGGTCACCATGATATAAAAAAAGATGTTGAGAACTCTGGAAAGAGTGCAGAGAAGAGCAATAAAGATGATTAGGGGACTGGAGGCTAAAACATATGAAGAACGGTTGCAGGAACTGGGTATGTCTAGTTTAATGAAGAGAAGGACTAGGGAAGACATGACAGCAGTATTCCAATATCTCAGGGGTTGCCACAGAGAAGAAGGAGTCAAGTTATTCTCCAAAGCACCTGAGGGTAGAACAAGAAGCAATGGGTGGAAACTAATCAAGGAGAGAAGCAACCTAGAAATAAGGATAGATTTCCTGACAGAACAAATTAATCAATGGAACAACTCGCCTCCAGAAGTCATGAGTATTCCAATACTGGAGGTTTTGAAGAAAAGATTGGATTGAAATGTTCCTGCTTGGGTTGAGCTAGATGATCTCCAATATCTCTTCCAAATCTGTTATTCTCTTGTTCTATCTTAGGCATTTTTGCAAATGCCTGCACCCAAGTTTAATTTATCTGATTGATGCCTTGGTTGTGGGCCTTCCTTCTGTCCTTCAAGGCTATCCTCTTTATTAGTGCTTAAAGCTGCCATCCAAAGCCATGGAAATGGTATCCATTTCTTTCATACTTTCTAGGAGCCAACTGCATTTGTACCAGTGGTGGGTTTCAATTTTTTTTTACTACCAGTTCGTGGGTGTGGCTTGGTGGGCATGGCATAGCTTGGTGGGTATGGCAGGGGAAGGATACTGTAAAATCTCCATTCCCACCCCACTCCAGCAGAAGTATACTGCAAAATCTCCATTCCCTCCCCAATCCAGGGGAAGGTTACTACAAAATCCCCATTTCCTCCCGATCAGCTGGGACTCAGGAGGCGGAAAATAGATGGGGGCAGGGCCAGTCAGAGGTGATATTTACCAGTTCTCCAAACTACTCAAAATTTCTGCTACCGGTTCTCCAGAACTGGTCAGAACCTGCTGAAACCCACCTCTGATCTGTACCTCTCCAACTAGAAATTTCCCAGAACTAAGGAGAAATGTCCTATCAGTCAGAACAATTAACCAGTAGAGCGGCTTGCCCTTAGAAATTGTGGGTGCCCCAGTGCTGGAAGCTTTTAAGAAGGGACTGGACATCTACTTATCTGAAATGGTATAGGGGGTCTCCTGATTAAGCAGGGGATCGAACTAAAAGACCTCCTTCCAACTGTTAACTAGTAGATGAATATACTGTTCAGCAGAGCTAGGCTAGTGCCACAGTTAAACTGCACTTTGGGAGGCTTCGTTTCAATTCCTCTGAACGAGGGAGGGAGAAGAGACAAACAGAATGCTTACAGATTTTAATGCATTGTAGTTTCTAAATATACCTGTCCTGCAGAGCCCCTCCCCCTATGACGTCTTTGTCCTCTCTGAAACAGGAGGAGACCGAAGGTGCCGTTCAATGGCTATGCCGGCCATGAAAACACCAATGTCCGAGGAACATTTGAAAACCCCATGTATGACCGCAATTTGCAACCAACAGACATCATGGCCAATGAGGCCGAGTTTACCGTCAGCACTGTGTGTACTGCAGTATAGCACTTACAATTCTGTGTGCAGTAAGTATCACACTCCTATATAAATTTCCCACATATGTTTTTCCAGCTACTACCGGGACCCATCAAATTATCATTAGCCTAGCATTTAATTTGAAAAGGGTTGGGTAATAATAATCGCTATTATTCACATCTTAGTAAGAGAAAATGACTGTCACGGCTGCAGTGATGATTTCTGGCCATAAGAAAGTGGAAATGTTATTCAGATCCAAGCTTTGGAGATAATTTTTTAATTACCAGCAACAACTTTTTGTAAGATAGGGCAGCTTAACAAATAATATACTATATATTGTCCATCCATCCACCTGTCATTTTATCCATCCATCCATCCATCCATCCATCTATTTTGGATGGCCATCTCTCTTTATTCTCTGAAGTTTTCCATTTGGACATCTTCCAAGCTCAACTGTGAGACTTTTTCACATCAGTTTCAAAAATTTTTATGACCGGTTCTGTGGGTGTGGCTTGGTGGCCGTGACATGGTTTGGTGGGTGTGGCTTGGTGGGTGTGGCATGGGAAGGATACTGTAAAATCTCCATTCCCTCCCCACTCCAGGGGAAGGTTACTGCAAAATCCCTATTTCCTCCCAATCAGCTGGGATTTTGGAGGCAGAGAATAGATGGGGGTGGGGCCAGTCAGAATTTTTACTACCAGTTCTCCGAACTACTCAAAATTTCCACTACTGGTTCTCCAGAACTGGTCAGAACCTGCTGAAACCCACCTCTGTTTCACATACTCTTCTTTAAGTCCTTTCTTTTCCCAAATAATCTAAGGAGTTTTGGTTAGGAAATATTGCAGAACACTTTACTGTTCTTCTTAATTATGATCCATACACAAGTCATACACAATTATGATCCATACACAACTTACTTAAATTACTAAATTAACACATCTGTGTAGGCCACAAGTGTCAAACTTGCCGTGTCATGTTGCCATCACGTGACATTTCGTGATGTTTTTCCCATTCGCAGAGCTGGGGTGGGCGTGGCCTGCATGTGACGCATCCGGCCCGCGGGCCTCCAGATTGGCACCCCTGGTATAGGCAATACACTTAAGCAGTGGTGGGATTTAATTTAACAACCGGTTCTCTGTCCTAATGATTTCTTTCAACAACCAGTTTGCCAAACTGCTCAGAAAGTTAACAACCGGTTCTCCCAAAGTGGTGCGAACTGGCTGAATCCCACCACTGCACTTAAGCCATAAATCAGTCAAATGATATTTTAAGGTACAAAAAACAAACAAACCGAGGTTAAAAATGACCAGATTCATCATTCTGTGTCAATCAATGATTCAATTTGTAACAACTTGCAAGTTGAGGCAATGCTGACCTTGATTAGTTTCTGCAGGGCTTAGCATGTTTTGCAGATCCTACCTGTTTGATTAGCTTATGGTTTAATATGTTCTACACACCCAGAAGATGGCTTAAATCAATAACCAAATTAAGGGTGATGAAGAATTGACCTGCCCGCATGTCTAGACAGTGAAAAGTGACTGAAGAGCAGGGGTTAAATCCAAAATTTTTCCCTATCGGTTCTGTGGGCGTGGCTTGGTGGGCATGGCAGGGGAAGGATATTGCAAAATCTCCATTCCCACCCCACTTCAGGGGAAGGATACTGCAAAATCTCCATTCCCTCCCCTCCTGGGGGAAGGATATTGCAAAATCTCCATTCCCACCCCACTCTGGAGCCAGCCAGAGGTGGCATTTGCTGGTTCTCCGAACTACTAAAAATTTCCACTACTGGTTCTCCAGAACCTGTTAGAACCTGCTGGATTTCACCCCTGCTGAAGAGTTTTGTATTTCTTCAGGATACTTGCTCCATTAAGCCTTATCTACAAAGGGAGTTTGTTCTGTGCACCAGCCATCACTTCCTTTGGTCAAAATATGCTGGCAATGCCACAATAACGTTCTGTTAATTTTTCTGTGTGCTTTCAGGGATTTGTTGATCCATTAATGTTACCATTCCTTTAAGAACTATTTGGGCATAGTCTTCTTTAAAAAAAAACAAAAAAAAAAAACTTAGGATGTCTTTTTGGATGCAGGGATAGGTAAACTAGTTCTGGCCAGAGGAGGTTATCAAATGTTTTATTTATGGTCTTGGAGTTTGACGGAGTGTTGGTGATTTGCGGATGTCGTGGTGCAGAATCAGGAACCATATTTGCAGGGTTTAAAGCAGAGGTCTTCAAACTTGGCAGCTTTAAGACTTATGGACTTCAACTCCCACAATTCTCCAGCCGGCTATGAAGTTGAAGTCCACAAGTCTTAAAGCTGCCAAGTTTGAAGACCTCTGAACTACAGTACTGTATCTGCGGATCCGAGTCCGCCCAAACTACACTTCCCACAATTCAGCGGGATCTTTTTTTTCCTTGCACCTGCAAGAAGGAGATGGTTCCCCCCGCTGAATTGTGGGAAGTGTAGTTTGGGTGGACTCAGATCCGCAGATACAGTACTGTAGTTCAGAGGTCTTCAAACTTGGCAGCTTTAAGACTTGTGGACTTCAACTTCAAGCATAGCTGGCTGGAGAATTCTGGGAATTAAATCCACAAGTCTTAAAGCTGCCAAGTTTGAAGACCTCTGCTTTAAAGTGTTATTTGGAACAGGTGCTTAAAGATTATCACTTTAATACAAAACTTTATGCTGACAAAAATGTCATAGGTACACAGTGGGCAGAAAGGATAGAGGCCCCAGCCCTCCTTCCCAATTAAACTGATCATGTATCCATCCATCCATCCATCCATCCATCCATCCATCCATCCATCCATCTTTTAAAAAATAAAAAGCACAACATAAAAATTTAAGTTAACAGAAAGCTTCTTGTGATAGAAACCCCTTTCTCCCTCACTCCCCCGCTCCGTGTGTATGTATGTGTGTCCATTCTCTTCTCTGTGCAGCCTTCTCCAGAGATGGGAATCTCACCAGTGCCCAATGATCCTCCTGGTTCATCTTCGCCCATGATCTTCTCACCCAGATATGTTGGGGCTGCGGAGTTGATATGGTGCCTTTGAGCTGATCCAGAGAGAGAGAAAGAGAGAGAGAGAGAGAGAAAGAAAGAAAGAAAGAGACTGCCTTGCTGTTTATCACCGCTCCGCATCTTCATTGCCCATAGTCCTGCCCTCCTGCAACTGATAATCAGATCTACCAAAGCATCCACCCCAGCTCTTGTGCCAAGATCACAAGATGTGGAAATCTATCCTCCTCCCTCTCCTCCAGAGATGCTCATCCCCATCCTTGAGCCTTTTTCTATCGGTTCCTGGCCAACCTTTGGACTGGCTGACTGCTGCTCAAAGACCACTGATTGTCCCACTGTTTGCCTGTGGTCGATAATCACCTTTCTGGGGGACACTTCATGGCAATCTAAGAAAATCCACCCACCCTGGCTGCCAGAAGAAGCTACACAAGAGGAAGGAAGCACATGCTGGTTGAGAGTTGTGGATGCAGAGAACTTGGGCTAAATGTAGCCAGTGTATCAAACTCATACAGCAAGTTTAGCATCTGGAGAAATGTTCCTTAGGTATGCGTTGGTTCTCCTCCTCTCCTTCTTCACCCTTATATATTTATTTCATATTAATATTCTAGTGCAAGAATGTCACGTTTCTGACCCTCCTTGCAATCCTCTGAGAAGGCCTCCATTCCTACCCTCCAATTTGCATTTCTAGAGCATTTGAGTCTTACGTTTTCTAAAATTGGCAAAACCCTTCCCATCTCCAGTTCCTATAATTAGATCAACTCAGAACCACTTTTTTTTAAACTAAATGATCGTCTTTGCTTGGTCGCTGCTAGCTTTGGGGTGATCCAGAGAAAATACAGAACTTCCTAAGTGATACAGTTCTTGGCATAAGAAATGGGCTTTCTCCTTTACAGAATTTGGAGAATCCAATTATTGCTATCTCAGTCCCAGCTCATGCATTTCTTGGAGGTCTGTTACAGTTTGTCAGCTGCAATATTTTCTTTCAGCGGGGAAAAAGAGTAGCATTCCAGCCAGGTATTTTCATTGCTTTCTGCAATGCTCTTTGGACCTTAGCAGCATGAGGATCATGGACACCTATTATTCTGTGTCTGTGACATCACAAATACCTGATGTGACTAATTTATTTTTCTGATTTATATATATTTCTATATTTCTAAGAAGTCAAATGCCATCATAGACGGTTCATTCACTTGATGTTCTAGTTTTTGAAATAAAATGGTAAATAGTTTTCCCCACTGCATAATCACATGCTTTCAATTTACCTGTTCTGCTTCATCCTTGGCTATATAAACCCACTGCAGGGCTAAATGGACAACTCACCTGTTAGAGAAAGACCTCATTCAGCTATCCCCATCTATTGTTATGAGGATCTTGCACTACTGTCCTGGTTAATCTAGCTAGGCCTGACATCCAGGGATTTTTCTCTGCCTGGTTCTCATGAGGCTGCCTTATACCAATTCACTCATCTACTGCAGCATTATCTACACCAGTGGCAACAGGAAGGGGCTGGGACTGCCTGTGGCCAACTAGCTGCAGGTGATTCACCATCAGGCATTGGCCATCATTCCATGTTCTTCAAGGATGGAGTCTAAGAAATTTTGCACACAAAGTGAAGTCTTATGACTTTTCCCCAATAGCCTGAAAGAAAGTCTCATCTCAGGTTACCTAAGAGTTTTCAAATACAGTCAACAAGGCTGCCTAACCCATGACTCTTGGCTTCTATCCCATCCTATTGCAAAGGTGAGCACAATCTATGCCATGACATCATTGCCCCAAGTCCTTCCCACCGCAACCGCCCATGCTGCGGAAAAGGGGACAGCACAGCACAATGGGATCAAGAGTAGCATTAACTCAGGCATTGCAAAGAACAGGGAGCCAGGCCTCATGTCGCTTCTACCATCTAGTCAAACTTTCAGTCTCTATAAAATATGAAAGGTTTAAGGCTGACACCCATGTCCCAAAGGTGCTTTTTCCAAAAGGCAAATGGACTTTCTTGGGAGGGGGGGTGTCTTTGAACATTATCTTTGTACATTTCATTTCTCATCCAAGAAGCTTCTTCAGTTCTATCAGATGAGAAGTGAAACATTAAAAGACAAAAAAAAAACCAAGAAATTCCAATTGCCTTTTGGGGAAAAAAGCACCTTTGGGACAACCATGACCTGAATGATTGAGAACCTCCAGGGACTGACACCCATGGTACAACTGAAATGAATTGGGGATAGAGGAGGAGAGGAACTCTTTCTTGCCCAACCTATTGGGTTTGCATCTGCAATTTTAAATAGATCTTCTGCAGACCCAGCCAGGTTAACTACAGCAGTGAATAGAAGAGTCAAGATTAGGGTAATCTGAAACTGCTTCTACCTACCATAATTTCAGCAAATGGAAATGGAGTGAGCATCCTGGCCCAGGCACTTTCCACGTGGTCCTCCATCATTACCATACAAGAATGATAGCTCTGAGAGAACAGTTTGAAGAACACCCTTTTGTCGTCTAGCTCAGGGTTCTCCAACCTTGGCAACTTTAAGACTTGTGGACTTCAACTCCCAGAGCTTTGCTGGCTGAGGAACTCTGGGAGTTGAAGTCCACAAGTCTTAAAGTTGCCAAGGTTGGAGACCCCTGAGTCAGCTGGCTCATTCTGTGGCTGAGAAAACCAGCAGCTTCCATGGAGTGAGTAGAAGCTAAGAACCTAGCACCACACAGGTTGACAAGCTCAGGCTTCCCCAAATTTGTGTCCTCTAAATTGGTTGGGAGTTATAAACCCAACACTTGCAGGATGCAAATTAGGAAAGATTGTTGAAGCTATTCTTCCAAAAGATCTGGAGAAAATGCATCCTGGAAACCCAGTGCTAAAAATCATAGGATTTCATTTCACTTTTTGTTTCATCTTTCTTACTTCTATCCCATATTCTTTTTTCCTCTCTGTTCAACCGTTTACTCATTCATTCTGTGTGTCTATGGAAAGATGAGGAATTGCCGATACCCAAAAAAGAAAGAAGAGTGACACAGAAGCCAAGGATGTTCTTTGGAACATCTTCCTGGAGAGTCTGAAGGCCAGTTTAAGGCAACTGTGGGAGCTGTTTTGTTTTTCCCCATTAATTGACCAGTTCTGTTCACATAAAAGGCAAGAGTGAGGGGGAGGCAATCGTTTTCAAGATTAACAAGGTTAACGTCTTCCTCTAAGGAAAAAGCTGGATTTTTCTTCTTCTCCTTGGAACATCTGTTCGTCCCAGCCTTTTCCAGCAGCAGGTCTGAGCTGTCTTGTTGAACAAAGTGTCTTGCACAGAAGGTGGAAGGTGTTAGATTTCTTTGCCACTTTTGCTTCTTAGTCAAACAATTTGACAAAACCTGGCCATAATAACACAGTGCATAAATTGAATGGGTAGGGCAAGCATTCTGCCTCTATGATGCTGTGTATGTGTGCAGAGGGAAACACAGAGTGGTGAACCTGCCCTGTTTTAGGTCATGGCATAGCACAGGGGGTGAGAAATAGAACAATCAATGGCATTTCAGTGGACCACTGCCCAGCCACTTCTTCCAGATGGACACAGCAACAAAATTTTGGGGTATTATTTTTTTCAGAACCTCCCTTCAGGGGTCAGCAACCTTAAACACTCAAGTAGCTACAAAAGTCCTAACTGGAAGCCACTGTTCAATTCTGGAGCCGACCGGAAGTCCGGTTCTCCCATCATAGAGTCTCCTTCTAGCATGGTGTCCTTTTTTTTCTGCTGACCAGAAGTCCAGTTCCCCCACCATAGAGTCTCCTCCTAGCGCAACATTTCCTCTACCTGTCCTAACTGAAAGCCCTATCAATTATGGAGCTGACTAGCAACAGGGAGCCGCAGCAGAGGGATGAAAGAGCCACATGCGGCTCCAGAGCCACAGGTTGCTGACCTTTGCTTTAGTTCATTTGTAAGCTCAGGTTTCTTTTTGTCACCTTTTCCCTCCATGTATTTACAGGTAGTCCTCAACTTATGACCACAGTTGAGCCCAAAATTTAGGTTGCTAAGTGAGAAATTTGTTAAGAGACTTTTGCTCCATTTTATGGACTTTTCATGCCACATTTTTTAAGTGAATCTGGCTTCCCTATTGACTTTGCTTGTCAGAAGGTTGCAAAAGGGCATCCCATGATTCTGGAACATGTAAATCACATGACCATGAGGATGCTGCAATGGTCGTAAGTGTGAAAAAAATGATAATAAGTGCCATTGTAACTTTGAATGGTCACTAAATGAAATGTTGTAAATTGAGGACTATATGCAGTTGCATTATTTGGCTGCCCAACCCCTATGGACGTACAGTTCTACTTTGGAAAAGTTCTTCTGAACATGGACAGACAGACAGACAGATTACAGTCCCCACACTTTTCCACAATTTCTTTCCAACACACAGCTGGATTGGAAATTTTTGAATTCTACCCAAATGGAAAAGTCTATATTCATTTTTGAAAACACCAGGCACCAATGTGAATACTCTAAAGAACCTCTGTGTTTGATTGCCCAATATTTAATGAAATAATGTTCATACTTACAAAAAAGTCATTCTTTTTCTCCGATTACTTCCTACTGCTTCCATTTTTTATTACGTTTATTAATTTAGAATTTTCAGCACAGTCTTTTTGCATTGCCAACCATTGGATCCAGAGGTGTTTTCTAAAAGGAGAATACAGGATCAGCTTTGTAAATTCTCAGCTTTGTAAATTGCAAATATCAATTTGCAATTTTGCAATTATATTCTAGAACACAACTATGGCCCCTTTATGACCTGAGCTGGCTCAGGAATTCTAGGAGTTGAAGTCCACAGTCATAAAGAGGCCATAATTGCCCATCCCTGTTCTAGAACTTAAACTGTAATAGAGAAAGTGCAAGATGGCAATTCCCACAGTGGCTGCCTTACTGTCCAGCCAGCAAACTCACAAATACTCATTCCTCCATTTCCACTTACTAAATCCTCTTTGGCTTTGGTTAGTCCTCCTTCTCAACAGGCCATTGCAAAAGGTTTCACTGGCACAAATACTGGCAGTTATGCCAGTATGAACACAACATACAATTTCCCGCTCCTCACA